CTGAAGACAAAAGATGGCACCTGGCAGCGTACTGCGTTTCGGAACAAGAGAGCTTCTTTGCACAAGTACAGTTCTGGTTTGTAGTTTCACAGGATGCCTAATGTTGTTTCACAGTCAGTTTACAGCTTAAACTGTGGAAGGCTCAAACTATGCCAAGTAAACAGCAACTCTGAATTTCTGGCAAGCTTCTTAAACCAGTTAAATTAACCTACCGTTTGTTTCCTGTGGATATTCATGATATGAATGTCTTCACTCCGATACTCCTCATCATGCTTATCCAGAGGAATTTTTTCCAACTCAAAGTCCCTCTGAAGCAGCTGTTATGAAAGCACAAGCCAAACAATTCAAACGACACTGCCATTTGCAATGAGCACGCATTAAGACATATTCAGTTAAAAAGGTCCCAAAATACACTGCGTGAAGGCTAGAAGCCCTAAGAGGCTGGAACCGCCATGCTCAGCCCCCTTCTGTAAAGGCCTCCGCAAGCATGCAGGCCATTTTTCCCCCTTACATTTACCCTCAATTTGACTAACCCAGGACCAATTCAAAGCTACGGACATCCTGCAGCATTTAAGAACGTCTTAAAGCTTTTGATAAAACATTTTGCTTCCTCAAAGCTCCGAAGCGCTAAACCACACCACAGTGCCTGCTTCTGTTTGCCAGTCTCGTCAAAGGGGGCGGGGGGGAGGGAGGGAGCAAATACATGCTAAGGAACAGAAAGCATCCAGAAACACCCACCCCTATCATATTTACTGTGGGAGCATTAAGTACCTCATCAGAGCTGATCTCAGTCATGGCAACCCTCCTCGCAGTATAGTCCTCACAACAGCTTGTTCTAGGCAAGGCTAATTATCAAAGTGCTTCTATTTTCATGTACAAATCACCCTGGAATTCTGGCCTGTTCCCTTTCCCCTCTTTCCTGGTATTATCTCTTCATATACTCCAGCACTCCCACGAAAGGGCTGCTTTCAGCACACTTCATGGGTGCAGAGTCAAATCCTGCAATGACTGTCAACCCTACAACCTGCAATGCTTTCAGAGGGATTCAGCTACCACCAGGGTTTGGGATTTTTACCTGCCCAGAAGATACAGCTAGTCTATTTAACTGTATCACCTATTGACACTCTCTCAGCGGAGGGGGAAATTTTTGCAAAAGCAACTATATCATTAACAGAAAGTCTCGGACTCCCGAACCACTTTTGAAAACTTTACCTACATGTTGCCTATGCTTTCAAGAGAACATACGGAAAGAAAAATTTTCACAAAACTGTTTTTTAAAATCTTCCCAACAACCTCCAATAACCTCACGGCAACCACTGCAGAAAGAAAAAGGTAACTTTTTCTGCTACCTCACTTCCTACAAAAATGATTGTCTTGACAGATACTGCCTTGCGCATGGGGGCCCTTTTGCACATCCAGCACATAACCACAAGATACAGAGGCTTTTAGCAACATGCATGCCTGGCTGCCTGGTTCAAAAGCATCAACAGAGGTACGACTAGGGAAGTAAGAAAGGTTAGTTCTACCCTTTGAGGGAAGGAAAACTCACCAAGCGTCCAGAGAGTCGCTACTGATAAGATACAGAATAACTTCAAGAGTTACCAGTCAGTTTTTCTGTACTATCTGAAAATAAACATGTTTTATTGCTGCAAACTCTGCTTGTGCTGCGAACCGGAATTTGCACACAAATCAGAACTGACATCAAGGTTCAACTGAGCCAATGAAAGTTTTCCCATGTCCAAACTACTATGCTAGTGCTCAGAAGCACACGTTAAGAACACTTACCTCAAAGTATTTTCTTTCTATTTCAGGATTCTTCCCCATAGTCCTTTGTTCATAACAGCATAACACACACGTGTCAGGGCCAGTCAGGTCTTTCAGGGTCTTCAGTAATGGTTCTAACGACTGCCCAAAAGAGGTTAAGTATTTGCCACTTAGATCTCAAGTTCATTTTACTGATACCAGTCCTAGAGATACTAGAGAAAGTTTTCACCCAAGAGAGAACTTTCCAGTTTTGCTTCTTGTGCAGTTATTTTTAGTACCTTATCTGGGACAAAAGGCATACAGGGGCAAGCTGGAAAACAGATGAAAAAGTGAAGACTGCGCGGAAAAAAAAGTTTCATGGACTGCCCAAGGAAAACTGAACTAACACCTAAGCTAAAAATCGTTCCACGCTGCTAAAGCAGACATCTCCTTGAGGCACACAAAAATGACTGTACTTCTTGATACTTTTCAAACCCAAGATGTTTTTAACCATTCTTGGAATATAGCTCATACCCAGACCACGGTGTACAGAAACAGGACCAACTTGTAGGGAACCAAAGCAAGGGGCTGGCAAGAGAGCTGAAAAGGCAGTGGGACATGGAGTCCTTCAGGGCACTTCCCTTTTCCAAGGACTGGTGCTGGCTCTTCACGTACATCCTGTGGAGCTACAGCTTCGCAGACGGGGCAGACTATGAAGGCCCCTTGGCTGAAGCGTGACTTCTCTCCCTGCCCTCCCCAAGGAAGGGTGATGAGAGCCCCAACAGGAGAACAGCATGGACATGGCATTGTTATTTAAATTGCCTTCACAGAGGCACAAGACGGTTCACGACTATCGATCACAATTTTTTTTTCCTTCACATTTCACTCCCAAGGTTAAAAAATAATTAAAAAAGGCACAGCACTAAGAAATTTTTAAAAATTAAAAAAAAAAAAAAAGGTCTCTGGTTGCATCTCAAACGGCCTTAAGTCAATTAAAAATATCTTTCTCAGGCTTGTCTGACGTGCTACTCCAAACCATGGGGGCCAGGACGAAAGCGCGGTAGTTGCACGAGCGGGCTCCCCGCACGCACGTCCGGCATCGCACCCCCGCCCTCCCACGCCAGCCTCCTGCTCGGCTTTCGCCCAGTCCTCACGTACCTCCTCGTAGTAAATGCAGTCAGCCATCAGTATGTAATCGGGGGGAGGCTGAAACTCGGTTACGTCTTCGCCCCTCACAAGAAGAACACAACAAAAAAAAAAAAAAAAAAACACACAGGCTGGAGCTTCTCCTGCAGTTAAGACACTCATATCTGTCATGTGGATTCCTACAAATCTAATGAAGAAATAATCCAATTTGAGAGCAGTCCTTCACTAGAATTGTGTTAGGATCACTCACCACTTGTACCTGGCCACCTGTAACATTTCCAAAAATTTAGCATTTGAGACTTACCTTTGTAGCCTGAATGACATCACCAAAAGGTCCAAAACAAGGACAAACACATACAAACTATCAAAGAAAAGTTGTGTTTTCCCAGGGAAAGGGGGAGAGGGGGCAGAATTAAGAACATCTAGCCTGCAAAATAATTTCTAGTGCTGTGCACTTTTTCCAGTAACAGCCTAACACTACACAGGTTATTATCCTTCTCCAAGAAGGGCAAACATGAAATCAAGTCTATGACATATGGACTACTTCTGATTTCTTGTTTAACAATTATCAAAGCTCATAAACAATTTTGAGGGTGAGAAGTGGAAAACCTGTGAACTGAGCATCCTAATCCGTAAGGAAAACGGACGGTCCTTATCGCCTTGTTCTTCTGGCTGACAAGCTTTGTATTTGGCTGTGCTACAGTCTAGCTTCCACAGAAGGAGAACGCATTAACCAAAAATCAACTATTCTCATGTATTATTTGCCCCATGTGGGCATCCTATAAGGATGCAGACATGGCCAAGAGTGAAGAGAACAGCAGTCTCTCTCTTCCTAAGCTTGCACTGCGGGAGCTCCCCTTTGGGGATATATTTTAAGGAGAGCAAAGGTACCCGCACCAGCAAATTCCTGCCTCTCCCTCACCCCCTTGCCCAGGGGTTAGAGTACTCCCAGCTCTACGGATTCAGCTGTTTGCATGGGTACACTTTAAGCCCTTTCAGTGAAATAGTCTGCTGCAAACACAAAAGCACTCTGTGCTGGAGGTTTTTGTTTTTGTTTTTTGTTTTCGCTTTTTTTTGTTTTTGCTTTTTTAAAGGGAGGTTCCGAGCTGCGCTTGCTCCAAAGGGAAAACGTACGTTTTCCTGTCTGTCGGCAGCGCGGGAGCGGGACGTAAAGCGGCCACGTTAACCGGGCGTGTTGTTGCCGGCGAGAAAACGGCCGGCCGTTACCCGTCTGGTAGCTTAAACATCTCGTGCGCCTCCTCGGCAAAAGTCAGACTTCCCTCAAGGGGAGAGGTGAGGAACCTTCGCTTGGAAACTAGACGGAAAAAGTGTAGTCACCTCCCGTTTGAACACATACCCGCGCGTACCTGGCAGTAAGTCAAAGCCTTCCTGATTAACCCATCGGTTTCTGCAGAGCATAAGCTCACGTTAAGCACCAGCCAGGGGGAAAGACTGGCTAAAAAAAAAAAGTCAGACTTCCCTCAAGGGGAGAGGTGAGGAACCTTCGCTTGGAAACTAGACGGAAAAAGTGTAGTCACCTCCCGTTTGAACACATACCCGCGCGTACCTGGCAGTAAGTCAAAGCCTTCCTGATTAACCCATCGGTTTCTGCAGAGCATAAGCTCACGTTAAGCACCAGCCAGGGGGAAAGACTGGCTAAAAAAAAAAAAAAAATGTACTGTGATTTATTTATTTATTTATTTATTGGTGTCCCCAGCCTGAACTCACTGGACGCGATGTCCCGAAGCGCCGTCGCAGGATGCAGAGCAGGTGGGTGAGAGGAACCCAGCTGGAAGGTGAGTGCCCGCTCCTGTCAGCTGAGAAGCGAAGCAGCTCCCCCTCTTTCTGCTCCCTGCCTGCCGCTGAGCTCCTTACCTTTCTCCACGGTTTGGGTAGGTCACGCAGGTAAGGATTTTGACCGTACACAACGTCTGCCCCCAAGCTCGCTGTGCGGTGGGTTGCAGGGAGTCCTTTGCAATTAGGCTCTGCAGTGGTCAGTTTGAAGACTGCGAAGGCCTGTTTTGCCTCCCGCAGAGTCTAATTGCTACCCTTACTTCAGCCATTTTGGCTCAGTTTTTAGGAGACATCAGGCAAATGATCCTGTGTCCTAGATCCTGTCAGCCTTCTCCACGCCCTAGAGTATCTCCAGTTGCTTTTCCTGAAAACCAGAGATCTGGTGCTCTGGAAACCTTCTGCTAGCACCATGTGAACGTCCGGGACAGCACCAGCTGCCTATATTTAAAGCACCTGAACGTCTCTCGGAGATGTTCAGTTTAGGTGTGCACGTCTGTGTAAAGCTGCAAGCATGTTCAGAGTTTCCAGCATCTCCTTGCCTGTGTTTAAGCAATATCTATTTCACAGGCTAGTCAATGCAACCAAAGACTTCTAGCCTGTAAGTACTGTGCATGCGCAGTCCCATTTAAATCATCAGGAGTCACAGGCGCTGTAGGCCTTCATCCAACATTTAAGCTTCTATAATGTTTTTAAAAAGCAGCTGAACATGAGTTGACTGTGAGTCAAAGGCTTTCTGTTGATATTTTTCCTTGGACTTTTGGGGAAGAAGCTCTTAGTGCTTTATTTCTTAACATTTCATATTGATGTTAACTCCCTTCCCCAAGGAGGAGTTACTGCGTTTGCTAGGAATTCAGAATCTTAACCTGTGCTATATTTTTGAAAATTGGAATAAATCTGGAAAAAAATAAAGAGCAAAAGATAATTTCTTTTTTCTTCCTTCTTTATTTTTGATCCTGCCTCCAGAGCAGGAGGAAATGCTAAAACTCAGCAATCCAAAACAGGATCACTGAAAACAACTAGAAAGATGTTTCTTTTGCTGTTAAATGCCTTCACATTCCATCTGCTTATCTGCACTTTCCTGAAGGAACTGCCTTTTCCCACAGAAGCCAGCTTCAAACCCAGCAGTTTCACATTCTTCCTCTAGCATTTTTGCTCTTTTTATCCATCCCTCTAATTATGAACTAACTGAGATGATAATTTATTGCTGTCTTGGCTTGCCCTTGAACCGCCCTGGTGGGAATCTAACTGCCTCCAACCAGTTCCACAGCAAAAGTTACTTTGGGAATGTCCGTTTCTGTACCCGCCGTACTTTCAAGCCGCTGCCAGCACTGCTGCTACCCTACTTTGGAATGGTTCTTTGTCTTTATATTTTCCAGCCCATGTTATGCTTGGAGAACGGTTTAACTGTGTGGCAAGTTATCCATAAGCGAGGCCTCATTTCTGAAGCATTGCTGTGATTTGTATACTTCAGATTAAATTCAGAACTGGCCATGTAAAGGTGAGAGTAATCTTTCATGCACAGGAAATGCAAGTGAGCACATTGTTTAACTGCTGCCTTCTAGCACAAGCAGGTATTTCAGGAAGTGTGTTTTCACACTGCTACCCCACTGCTGTGAACCACAGTCATCTCCTTTACTGTCCAGGACATCCGCAGATAGCTGTGAGAGGCTCTTGCAGGTGACCTCTGTCAATGTTGGTCTAATAGAGAACAATGTCCAAGGCTTGAGATGACTTTTTCTTTTTTTTTTTTAAAGTTTTATCTGCATCAATATTTTTCCTAATCAAACCATTCTGGGCCCCACTCTGAGTTAGGTATTTCATTTTCACTGGTTTGAAGTGTGGAATTCAGAACTTCTGCCCAAAATCACTCTTTCACAATCCAGATTAAAAGGAGGCCATCTTGCACAGCCCCCCCATGTGTTTCTGTAGGTTGTCAACATAACATGTAAGTTGGCACCTAAAAAAGAAAGGCTATTCTAAGAAGTACTCCCTGCTGCAGCATTGTTTCAAGATTAGTTATAAACGTACACTGCTTGTTCCACAAGTTTGAACTCTTTCTGAATTCCATTATAAACCGGAACCTCACAAAGGTCTCGATGGAGTAAAACACATTAAAGCCATTCCTAATCAGCAGATGCGCAGTTTAAAT